ATGTGATAGCTTGTCAAGTTTGAAACTATTCTAATTAATCTGTATTAATCAAAGAAAAACCGTGACGCCCTGACACTTTTGACCGTTTTTTGCCACGGCGTCACGGTTTTTCTTTGATTAATACAGATTAATTAGAATAGTTTCAAACTTGACAAGCTATCACATCTTGTAGAGCAAACAATTTTCTACAAATTGGTATACTTATTCAATGTTTGCCAGCTCGTCTTCACTCTTTTGGACACGCTTTTTAGATAGTCTCAACATCGATTTTTGGGGCTGTTTGTACACCAGCTGTATTTCATAATGAATTCACGTTGAGAGCCAAGACACTTTTTATTTTATAGAGAAATATTTAATCTACTCAATTATCGAGTTGTAATTTTAGATTATTTTCTAACTTTATTGCCATAGTTATTTGAAAAAGAGCGAAAAAAGGAGACCGTTAGCTGGACAAGCCATCGGTATGTAGTGTTTTCTAGCTTTAGCTAAATCGTGTCATTCAGGCTAAGACAGTATCTTTAGAGCAACGATTGTGTGGAGAATCATGATCAGTAGTATTAAATGCAAAAATTGATTTTCATCAAGTTTTCAATGAAAAAATTGTTCTGTTCGTCGAAAATGTCATCGACAACATTTCAGCTCATTTTAAACGCAGCACTCTTGTTTTGCTCGATTTTTTCGATATGATACATGGAAAACGTAAGCAGTCATCATGGTTATGGGGAAGAAGAAATGCTTTTTAGTGGGATAATCGCATGGGGCACAAAACTGCTTTGAATCAATCCAAATCTTTCAAATCTTCAAATCAGTTTTTTCCTCCTTGGCCCCCAAAGTGGACAAAACTGATTTGAATCTCTAAAATCTCTCCAAATCTTGTTCAAATCCCCCCATATCTTTTAAAATCTTCAAAATCCTCAAATTAGTTTTGTCCCTCTTGGATAATCGCCATTGAGAAAGTAAGGTTATTGATGAAAATGATGATGGCGCTAATAAGGATCAATCTGGTAAGAAACGTTTGTGTTTGCGAGCGCGTGCCACAGTTCTGAAGTTTTTCTACTATCATTCTCTGATATTGAGAAAGCGTAGAGAAAAAGATAAGAAACTACGACCAGACTGTACTATTTTCTCACCTTGGCCGATTACGTCTACCTTTATTTCATTAATTTGGGAATTAATTTATTTGAGGTGAAGATAGTGAAGACAGCGAGACAAAACAGTTCGAACAAAAAACCCAACAATTAAATGAATTATTCAATTGTGGACATTAACAATAAACTCAAACAACTTTAATTGATTCTTATCGTCGCAGAGCAAAGTATATGTCAGATAGCAGTGTTACATTTAAAGATATTATTGAAAAAATGCTCTTCGCAAAAACATTAGAATTTGTGTGTATAAACTGATATCTCTGACGCTCTCATAAGTAAAGATAGTCTTCAACGGCCACTTATCAATTGCCACTCTGTTTCTTTCATAAAGGCCAATGACTTGTGGTGATGAGCAAGGATGTTTATAAGGAGAAAGCCTATGCGGTTATAAATAACTGAAAAAGTTTAACGTTACTTTTTACTTGCTTTTTCCGGAATTAGACGTAAAACTGATGTGGAAAACATGTAAAACCGCGAAAATAAAATTAAAAAATGGGGCTACAAAGAGTTTTATCCTATCTGTATTCGCATGCCATGTCAAGTGTTTACCTAAATTACCTAACTTTTGTATCTCTCAGAGAAGTATTCTATAAACAAACACTGCCATAATCTCATCTGTTTCACGAGATCTTATGTATTCGCAGTAATTTCTAACTGGCTAATACTTATTGAACAAGAAAGCCTACCTAATGAAGTTCTAGAAGTTACATCGAGTCAGCCATTTTTAAGAAAGCTTATGTAGGGATTTATGAAATTTCAGTCACAGGATAAGGATATCATGTTATCGTGCAAGATTTCTATGTTTCATAGCAACTTGTTCGAACCCTTGTTATTTTTCTCGTTTATCTATAATTCAGCGATTTTGTAAGAATGATCATATGTTCTTATGGTAATATGACTTGTATGGTTGGAGTGCGTCCACAATTAAATGAAATCACGCATCAAACTGAATTTTTGCTTCTAACAGACGTCTTGATAAAAATATTTCGCGATTATCATTTAAATTTTTCGCAGCTGAATTTAGAGTACCATAGACTGCTCGTTTATACCAGATAACATTTTGTTGTTTTTCAACATTGATTACTGCTATATATTCTTGAGGAAATGTGTTCAAATCAACCGTCAAATCTTCATCCATATAGTCATCATGATAATGTGGATTTAATTTACGTTCTTCAATTTCTTTAAGAACATATTGAATTGTGGAACTTTCTAATAGATTTAATTGTATGAAGTGGTTAATATCAATATATTTATATACAGCACCGTCAGGTAAACATTCCCAAGGTGTAGTTGCAAATAAGTAAGGTACACCGTAACCATACTCTTCCATTGCTGGAACGAGTATAACTTCATTTTTGTCCTCTATTTTATCAAAATGAAATTGATAATTACTCTCAAGTTTATTCAACCACATGGATTTTATTTGCTTCCATGTACCTCGAATAGTTTTAAAAACATAAAATGCATCATGTAAACGATTTGAGCTAAATTCAAATAAATCACCATTATTTAAAATATCATCTTTAGGAAAAATAGCATCGACATCTAATGCTTTTTCTTCTTCTATGACTGTATTGTCAATTTCGTTTAGGGGCTCATAACCAAGTATTTTATTTAACATTTGTTTACGTTGATAATAAGTCGCTGGTATGTACTGTTGAGCATCTTTTATTTTTGCTTTTAACTCATTTAACTCAAACCATGTATCTGTCAATGAATCAGAATCTTCTAATTCAGGGTTCATCATCAATATTGTTTCAGTTACTTTATTACTTTCTGCTAATTCTTCTTGTGTAAAATAATTAGTTACATCTTTCACTGCTTTAAGTTCTTCTAATTGAGTGATATGGAACAATTGTCTCGTTAATATTTGCATTATTAACGTTTTTCGTGGTACATTTATCAAAGAAATATTGGCATCTGTCAACTGTTTTATTAATTTCAAACGAAATTGAGCTATTCGACGAAAATCATTATATTCGTTAAGGAGATTCCAACATAATTCTAAGTCGTCTGACGAATAAGATACGTAATTACGAGTTGTTGACATAATACTCATTTTACCTCACAATGGTGTTGTTATGAGAGAATCTGAATGAAAAATTAGAACGTTTAGGTTTATCTACAGTAGTAAGAAGTTGCGCAAGCAGTAGAAATCTTTTTCTTTCTTCTGTTCTTTTACAATGAAAAGGTGTACTATAGCTTTTGTTTCTTGAATTTATTTCTCATTGCTTTCATATATAAACTTTTTCTTTATCTCACAACTTTGCTGTGATGAACAACGCATGCTGTTTTTGTTTATTGTCTTTGTCATGGTTTTCTTATGTTTAGCCCATCTCTAGTCACGGAGGACGAGAACTGACACCATTCCTTGATTTCAAATGTTCAACTCTGTTGTAGTGTGATAAGGAATGACTCGTCGCAATTATTCTCCTATATATAACAGACAGAAATAGTCGTTTTTCAATATACCTTGACCTCTGATAAATATGAAATAACTTATTTTTCATATTAAATTATACTTTATCATTATAAAAAGAATACATAGGGTCAGAAGAAAAATAAAATGCGAAAATATAATCCAAAATAAAGTCGTATGAATTTCTTGTTATTAGAACACAGGTTCGCAGTGGTGGCGCGAGGAAGATAAGGGGGGGGAGAGTAGTTTCAAAAATTGAAGTGAGTTCAAAAAGATTTTTTGGCAAGTTTGATAAAGTAAAAGAAATAATACAAAATTTGACATTTTTTCATTTCGGGTTTACAGTTGTATAATCCGTTACCCCCACACTTCGCAGACACAGGAAGAAAACAGCATTTTTTCACTGTTCCTTCATATCCTTCACAAAACAACATACTACATTCTACGATCAGATTTATTTCTGGACCATCTTTCTACTAATTCTTGAGTGTTCATAGCATCTACAAATACTGTTTCTATTGAACATGATAACAACGCTTGTAATCTTTCATCACCCATAGTTATTCGTATTCTGTTTTTTATTATTTTCATCTTGGAAAAACTTCACTCGTTGCCTGCTACTGTGACTAGAATTGTTAATAAATATCTATATGCATGGTATAATCTGGGGATTGTTAATTTCCGTTTACTGATAAATAATGATGCATCTGTAATTGTTACGCATTCTTCAGCTATAACAAAGTTAAGTTGTAACAGAGAAACAATCTCTATTCGTCCTTGACTAGTTTGTTAGAAAAAAGTTATGGTCAGTTTACTCTGCTAGTGGAAAAGTGTATTTTCCCTTGTTTTCCGGCGGATTTTACGAACCTTGTAAAGCGTCTCCTGGCGAAGGAGTCGAACCTAGAACCTTAGCCTAGTCTCAAATGAAAGAGCGAATACACAAATTTCAATGAAAAAAATTATATGATATATCTGGGTGCTATGGATAAGATTTCTGAAAAACTCGGTTTTCCAGAAAATCTTATAAAAGACGAGGTCAGATGGCATGAACAATAGCTAGATGGATGTTATTATTGAAAGATTCCGTTCTGTTGAAAAGGACAGAATATAGATTTCGAAGTATAAACTTAAATATAAATGCTTTGTCACCAAATGCGTTTTCTGACACAGTTAAATGGAGAAGTAACTGTTTCATATAGCAAACCTCGCCTCAATGTAGGGAACAAACAAAATTCTTTATTATGTTGAAACACAACAATAAGAGAAAAAAGTAAGGAGACAGAAAAAAAAATAGTTTGTTATTGTACCACATTTCTGTAATTACGATGTGAATTCTTCTTGGCAAAATTCTCACAAAGCCCCTGGTAGTCAGCTATGATAGTGTGAACTATGGAAGTTGTAGTAGAATAATGTGAAACTATGAAATTTACAGAATGGTACTGTGATACTATGAAAAAAAGCAAAATTCTCGCAAAGCAATGGTCGTGGCGCTGGGCAAGTCAAGTCAAAAATGACTTGACTGAAAGTTATTTTTGGCTTGATCTGAGAACCTTTTTTGTGACTCATGACTTGAAAATTTTTTTAAAAATCAATTCAAGTCATGCATATTTTTAAACCTCTTATGCAGTCTAATTTTAAATAATAATTCACAATGATTTGGGAACGTTGATGTTATAATATGTAAGAATTTACGCACAATAGCAAGACGCGCATTTTACAATAGCATAGCGAACCTGCAGTGGCGAAGCGACCGTTGGCGTGAAGGGTGGGTACACCTCCCCTGCTTTCAGAAATTTCCTCGCAAATTTGCTCCGATTTGAGCCAGAAGTACGAGAAACTTACTCCGATTTTATAAAAGAATGGACTGAGTTTACTCCGATTTTGCCAAAGCTTTGTTTGAAATTTTTACGGTTTTTGCGCAGATATTTGCTGTTTTCTCCAATTTCAATATGCTACAAAAATGTGACAAAATCGAGAAAAGCTGGAACAAAGTGGAACACCTCCTTCTCAAGATGGTCAGGTCCAAGTCCCTACTGACGCATTAGTTGACAGCCTTGGACTTGTTTTTTATCGACTCCAGTTGGAGTCCAGTTAGGATCTATCATAATCAATCATAAAACTAGTGTAATCTTAAACGTAATTGACTCGCTTTTTTTCGTCAAATATATATCTAATATGGAATAGTGACTAAACTTTCTTATGTAGTTGTATATGATTATGAGATTTGTTCACTTGATTTATTGAGAAGACGCGAAAAAAGTTAGTGTAGTGGTTCTGTTTTCTGCTATAAATTTGACTGAACTAAGTAGACAGAACAGGCTAATGAATAACAATGGATAGATATAACAGAATACTCATTTAAATTATACGGTTATCAGACAGTAATACTGTTTTATTTGACACTTAACAAATACATTCTCCGTACGAAAAGTTAGATACTTCTCGACAGAATATGTCAAGTAATTTGTCAGGCAAATGTCCTCTGTGTCTTAAACCGGTTCTAGTCAGAAACTTTAAACGTCATTGTAACAGTTTGAGACTGATCAAAAATTTCAAAAGCAAATATGCAAATTAAAAGAAAATATAATCAAAAATAATAACAATGAGAACATTTTACGGTAAACAGCAACAGATGATCTTCCAATTCACCGGTCAACATCAAATGACTTTTCACAACAACAATCAGAGTTGCAAGTAAAAGAAATTGAAAAATTACATAAAGTAAAGGAAGGATTATTAGCTGTCATCAAAGAACGAAACTTGGCGTTAGTATATCGTTGTCCAGATCCAATATTTCGATTGGGACCGTTAAAGTTGCCGTTGATTACGTAGGTTATATGCTTGATATATGTGAAAAAATAATTGTTATTTCGTCCGTTGACATTCGATGTGATGATGCATTAGTAAATCCATTCCAAGATTCAGCTAACACATACGTTCAATTACAAGAACGTCATACACGTCCAAATGAAACAGTAACAATAACAAAATTAAAGAAAAATCAATCATCCTATAGTGTACCTGAATGCGATGAAAAATGTACTAACTTTTGTCAACAACATTTAATTGCTTATTATCATGAGCGTCAGCGACATTGCTATTCCTATCATCTATGTGAAGCTATTGAAATAACAAAAAAATTCAGTTAATATCAAAGGTTTAGAAAATCATCACTATCGTGCGGAAGATATACTCATTGATTATGAACGTGCATCAAAAATTGTTATAAATAAATGACCAGCAAAAGCACGTTATTTTCAAAATTTTAAACAATGTTCAATGAATGTGTTTAGTAAATTCGTTTACGATCATAGACAAGTGGAATTTGAGCGATTATTAACTGATATATCAACAGAATACGAGAAAACCGCTTCACAATAATTATGCGACAAGAGAACTAAATTAGTTCAGAAAATTATTAAAGGTTTCAGCTGTGTATTAACAACAAGAAAAGATAATCAAGGTGGATTTTTTTCAAATACGTTTCGTTTCATTCTTGACATTCCACGTGAGCTACCAGCAAAATCAAAATGTGATTATACAAACCGAACGAAAAATTGTGAACTATCATGTTTGACTGTAAGTGATATATTAACAAGAATAGAATCAGACACAAGCACCGACGATCGTATTTCTGATTTAAGACAATATATCCACGACTTGGATGAAGATGCATTAAACTACTACTTACATCATAAATATGTGTACGACTTACAGAGGAGATTGTTTTGAATTGAATATTATTTTTATGAATGTAATCCGATTATTGATAGTGAGGCCAACGTTGCTGATTGTAAAATAACCAGGAAAGGGTTTGAAATCAAGCAGCATTTATCGGGATTATCAACTGATAATTCTAAAAATCTTCATATATCACAAATGATATTTGTAACGGAAAAAATTGGCTATTTTACTGTTAGTAACTATCCACATGATCGATCATCTTTATACTATTTTAATTTTACAAGTTTATCTTATGTTGAAGTTGAGTTAAAACAAAAGTTACTGTCACCAAGTACACGATTAGTATTAGATGAAAAAGCAAATATTTATTTCCTTTATGATAACTTTAAAACAACGTGTGAAGCGTGGCAAACTGGATGAACGTACTAGTCGACTACAAGCACCGACTCTCATAACAAATTTATACGACTATACCGTTGAAGACTTTGTCATTGAACCTGATAATAATATAAGCAATCTAAAGCTAGAATTTATATCAACAGCATGCTTTTTACAAGGTAGTGATTCCATGCTGCTAGTGGATCAAAATTATAACTTGATAGAGTATCGCTATTTGAGTGGCTTTTTAAAATTTATTTGTAGACGGGTAAATGCAGATACATATATCAGAAAAATTCCATTGAAGCCGTCCACCAACGACGATAAATATATTTATCGTCGCTGTGTATATATACACAGCTCTCTGCTACGCCTGACGGAAATTGTATCTTACTCCAATGTAAAAAGTCAATTGATATTTACGATTTAACATGGACAATGATTGGTACCATTCCTATTCATAATCCAGACATATTTTGTAGTTACAAAATATGTACTGATCAAACAAATACTTACATTATATTAAATGAGAAATATAGTACTAATCGTATTTATCTACTTGGTATTTATACTACCTCGGCGACTAAAACGCTGGATATTGAACGTCCAAAAGTTAAAGAAATTAAAGGGTTTCTATTATTATATATATTTTATTTAGCCCAACGGAAATTTGGTCCATCTTCGAATTGCATTGGTTGCTCACGAAAGGCTCAAATAACAATCTTGGTTCCTGACAAATTTCCGATCAATGATGATGAACTTAATACATATTTCACACGACTATATACCATCGGCATGAATTTGCAGCTTAATTCATTATCAGATCCTGATTATAAAACAATATTTCGTCGTCTAGTCCAAATGTCGCTAAGTGATTTTAAACAAATATTGGAATCTCGAGTGCCAACCCACGTAGCAACAATAGAAGAATCAAATATGTTCCCATTACAGGATGGAAGGAATATAACCGATGATATAGCTGCATGGAAAAATTCAAAAGATAACAATACAGCCCTGGTGCAGTGTATTACAGAGCTAAGTGAGTTGGCCACTTTAAATACCGTTCTGCTTTACTGAGTACATCGCTCTTAATTTTTTTCCAGTTCATGTTGGTCCTTATGAAACAATGCTCAAAAGTTGCCAGGCAAAACTAAAAGTTATTGCAATAGTTGGACGGCAGAGTGGAGATACAGCATTTTCCGAAGCATAATTGAGTGTTATCTATTATGCTTTCCTCTATGTCTAGGTAAATCTTTCCTTTTGAATCGCGTAACTAAGATTCAATGTGGTATCCACTCGTTGTACGGATGGAACATGGTTATTGGTTGCATTTGTTCAAGGGCAACCTCTAGTTATTCTTGACTGTGAAGGGCTATTTTCCACTCGTCGTAACGCTCTAGACGAAAGCAAACTTTGTCTGACGCTGTCCGCCGTAACAGACATATTATTACTGAATCAAGATCTATCATTTAACCGTTATCTGACTCAATTATTTAGCAATTTTGCAAAAAACTGTGATCGAACGAAAGGTTCAAATCTATTTAAAGGTTTTTTGATGATGCTCATACGTGATGTTTCGGCACAAGATGCAGATGGTGCTTTTACTGAGTTTATCAGCAATGTACGTCAGCAAGCTGCTAATAATCGTTCGTCCTATTTAGAAAAATTATTCGGTGAAGAAATTCGAGCTCAATGTCTGCATCATTTTGAAAATCGCGTCTTTGAAAAAGAAATTGAAGATATGAGGAAATTAATTTTGGCGTTGCCTTATCGTTGGAATAACGGTCAAGAATTTCTAGAAAGTTTGAAGCTAACATTAGCACAGGTGCATACGGGCGATGATACAGTTATGGACATACATCGAATAAAAATGAACTTTTCTAGATTAGAGAAGGAAACACATGCAATGCTCATACAAGGTATGTGAATTTTTAAATATCGAATAAGTTATCTGATTGAATAATAAATATCTTTTATAGGCGGAAACCAGTTTTCAACTTGTGAAAAATGCGTCGTTACTTTGTGTAACCTGACGGATCCGGAAACTAAAGAAGAGATAGCAATTGACCAAGGACGACTTAACTTCACAAAATACATCTACAGTGAGGACACCAAGAGAATGGAAGAAGGAGAAGAATTATCCCGGGCGGCATTATTATTTCATGACGTCATAGCGAATTATTATGAATGTGCTCCTAATGAATTATATCATAACGTGTGGTACACAAATGTTGGTAATGTCTTAAATCAGACACACTTGACCATCGAGTGCAGTTCATTATGGCCTATGAATGCCGACGACAGATGCAGCATATTGTGCTGATACCAAAGACTTTGAAGTAGCATTAAAATCAAAACAAGATGTCTTGTATCAAAGTTCGAAATTATGCGTTAGCGACTGTCATCGCTGTAAACGTTTGTGTGTTAAATACAATGATCATCGCGATGATAGTGATTGTAGCAAGGATCATTTATGCAAGGAACCATGTGAATTATGCGATAAAAACAATCCCTGTTGTCGATTATACGGACATAATAAATAGGTATGTTACAAACCCAAACCCAAGTCTCGTACTTGGGTCTGGGTACTGGGTACCCAAGTCTGAGACTTGGGTTTAGATATTGGGTCAGACTTAGGTTATTAAAAGATTCCTTTTAACTGAGATACCTTCTTTTGTTGTGGCTCTTTGAGAAAACAGGATGTAAGATGTTTATTTCGGCCTGTGGGCATACGTAATGCCTAATGCTAATGATAAGAGCTCATTTTGGATTAGTTCAAATATCCAACAGTTGAATGTTCTATTCTACTTATCTTGTTCATATCATCCTCATCCTTGAAACAGAGAAAAATACTAAAAAAATAAGCACTGGTAACATGCCAAAAATATGTTAACAAATGATTGGTGAACACTATAAAAAATGATATAAAAGAATAGGGAAAACTAAAGAAAAAAAAGTGAAATTCTGAAAGCGAAAACAGCGACGATGAAGAGAAAAAGATAAATGAATAGTATGGCAGAAGAGCGTAAGGTACTACTGCTAAGTTTCATTGAAGAAGAATATTAATGTACTTTGGCAACTGACCCAAACCCAAGTCTTAGACTTGGGTACCCATACCCAAACCCAATACACCCAAGTCAGTTGGGTTTGGTTTGGGTTTGTAACATACCTAATAATAAACATCATCGTTGTAATGAGGGGCATGTTTGTGGTAAGCCGTGTACGGTCTCAACTACGTGCTCAATATTTTGTGCATTAGAATCGAAACATAAAAATCAAGGAGTGCACGATTGTCAGAATCGTCATTATTGCACCGAAAAATGCTCACAACATCCCCAGTGTGATAAAATATGTTTATATGATGCGTCATATGATATTTATATTATGATATTTATGATATTTATTTATGATGTTTATATGATATTTAAAAATCATTTTCATCAAACTTTAATCGGTAACAAGCAAGTTAATGAACTAAAAGCTTTAATTGATGGCGTAGGTGAAAAACACGTAATTAATTATCATATTTGTGGAACGGAATATACATGTGCCGATAACTGTGCTCAGCCTGGTATCTGTGCTATCGACTATGATATTACTGAAAAAGAGTGGACAAATGAACTGAATACATTTCCATACAAGTTTTATGAACCAAAACCAGCTCGATCAAAATGTGTTGTGGCTAGGCATGCACCAGTTCCAATCTTAGGCTTGGAGGATTGGCACCAGTTAGGCTTGGTACCAATCCCAACAATCTCCAGTTAGGCTTGGTATCAGTCGGACTGGTCGACCAGTTAGGCTTGGTCGAATGCAGTAGGCAAGAGCTTCACCGTACAACCTATGGTGTAACCGTCATTGCACTATGCGCTTAGAGTAATTTTTTTTGTGCTTCTGTTTTACTTCAAAGAAG